GTTCATATATGTATCTCATTTTTAATGGCTTCCTAATCTATAAAATGGATGTTAGTTACTTTATTTCACAGTGAACCTCTAGAAAGCTTTTAAGTTTAGTACCAATTACTCTGCAGTGTACATCTTTGCACACTTGTGCAGATATATCAGAAAGACACCTTTGTAGAAATGAAGTTACCAAGTCAGAGAATATGCACATTTTAACCTTGTTAATGCCAGTAACATTTACATTGCCACCAATAGTATATAATTGTGACTATTTTTTTATTTTTGCCAATTCGTTGCACAAAAATGGTATCACTATAATTTACATTTCCCTCTTTACTAGTAAAAATAAATGTCTTTTCATATGTTGGCTATTTGTAGTTTTTCTCTGAGAATTGTCCGTCCATATATTTTTGTGAAATTTTCCACTAGATTCTTTTTCTTGTTTATATCAACTTTTATAGATTAGGGATATTGAATCCTTTTCCCTAACATTATGTAAGTACCTATTTCCAGTTTATCATTTGTTGTTTAACTTTCTTTAAGAAGTCATATGTAGGGGCTGGGGGTGTAGCTCAGCGGCATAAGCACCTGCCTTGAAAGCAGGCAGTCGTGAGTTCAATCCCTGGTACCGATAAAAAGGAAAAAGACCAAAAAAAAAAAAAGAAGTCTATTGTGAGTCTTAATTGGAAAGGTCTTCTTAATCCTGTAATTATAAAAATGTTTTCTTCTGATAATTTTACCCTTTTTTGAGAGGCTTGCTCTGTTACTTTTGTATTCTCTTCAGAAATTTAGAATCAGCTCATTGATTTCATCACCAGTTTTTAAAAATGTTTGTTTGGATTGCATTTTATATATAAGTTATTTTAAGAGAGTGGGCATTTTTGAAATAGTTTCATTTCTAACGCTTTAGTGTGTTTCCTATTTAATCAGTTTAGTTCTTTTTATACTATCATAAAGTGTTACAGGTTTTTCTTCAGTATCGTGTATCTATTGTTGGATTTCTTCCTACATACATTTATTTTATTACCACTGTTAATAAGATCCACTTTTCTATTATCTTTCCTAATGATGTTAGCTAGTAGATAATAAACTGTGAATTTTTATTTCTTACCATCTTATTTTGTTTTCAGTTGATTTTCTTGGCATACAGTTTTACCACCTGCAAAAACTGATGGTTTTCCTCTTATTCTGTCACTTAGCCTTTATTTTTTTTTTTTAATTTCAATTACTGTAGCCTAACCAAACTTGGCGTAACCCTCTGGTTTTAGATGTAGAAAGCGTGTGTGAACTTTTTTTTTTTGTCTTTTTCCTTTTTATCGTTACAGGGATCGAACTCACGACTGCCTGCTTGCAAGGCAGGCGCTTATGCCACTGAGCTAAATCCCCAACCCCTATTTTTTATTTTTAACATTGAGACAAGGTCTCCAAATATTTCCTAGGCTGGGCTCGTACTTGTGATCCTCGTGCCCCAGCCTCCCAGAGTGCCAGGATCATAGACATCTACCACAATGTGTAGGCAGAGAGAGAGAGAGAGAGAGAGAGAGAGAGAGAGAGAAGAGAGAGAGTGTTGCTTGCAGTAGGAACCTGAGAGGAAAGTTTTGTTGGATGCTTTTCTTCTGTTTTTCATTTATGAGGGTTGTTTTTTTTTTTTAAATCAAAATTCAGTGTTACAGTGTATTATTCTTCGATACCTAATGAGATCTTTCTTTTTTGTACTGGGAATCAAACTCAGGACCTTGCACTTGCCAAGCAAGCACACTCTGCCCCTGAACTATAACCCTAGCCTTTTTTTTTTTTCTTTTAATTTGCTAAGGCAGTGGATTATGTTGTGTTTGGGGAGAGGGGTTACCAGGAATTGAACTCGGTACCTCACACTTGCCAAGCAGGCACTGTGCTGCTGAGCTATATCCCTGGCCCTAGTAAAGTATCTTGAATTTATTTTCCTTTTGTACTATCTTTGCTTTCTTGAGATAAAAACCACTTGGTCATATGCTTTTTTCAGTATCCTTACTATTAAATTTGGTTTTATTTAGTATGTTTCCATGTACATAAGCGAACAGGCCTAGACTTTTGCTTTTTTTTTTTTTTTTTTTTTGAAAGTATACAACAGAACAAGTCAGAATAAAGCCAACTAAGATCATAAAGTGAAATTGGTACAGAACTTCACAGCAAGTTACCGGGATAACAGTAATAGGTATCACAGTATATTTTGTTATCTTTATAATAGTTGTTCTTTCAATCACGTATATCAAAATGAGATGAAATATAGAACACTATAGAACTTATCAAAACAGAATATTGAATAGAGCAGTACCATTAATCAGATAAGAGCGAAACAGTAATAAAAATATTTGCCTTCAAAGAAATGGTAGAAGGAAGTCCCCCTTATTTGCTATGGCCAACCTCCCAGGAGATGCTCAGATTTCTGGTTCCCATTTGCTAATGGGCGGGGGGATCAGGGGAGTGGGATATTGACTCTAAGGCCTAGACTTTTTTTCTGTTTTCATTTCTGTTTCTCCTTACTACATTAATAGTTTATATATTTGAAAACTAGGTTTATCTTGAGGATTTAACACTCACGAAACTAGTCTAATAGGTAAGTTCAAAAGGTGAAATTTTCACCAACTTTGTAATTTTAGCTGTCATAATCAAGGACTGTTAGTATCCTAGTCACTTTTCTCTGATCATGAGCAAATTACCAGTTTTATCAAATGTCAGCTTTTTAAAATGGTAAATGAAGGTTAAAGTCTAACTTGCAGTATTGTGGTAAGGATGAAATAAGGTGCTGTTTGACTGTTCAGCATCTCAGTGTTACATCGGGTAAATGTTCATCGCTGTGACTCGCTGCTGTCATTGTGCTTTTGGGTAGACGACTGCAGCCACCTTAGTCATCCCAGCTGCTGCACAGTCGGTTGGAAAAGGTGCCACGTCTGCTGGACAGGCACCAGGGCAGAGACTTCACGGGCCCCTTAAATACGTGAAGGCGCTCTCTGGGCATTGTTCTCTGTTTTAGGAATGCTTCTTCATTGTAACTACTGAAGACTTTTAACTAAATGGGAAATAACTTTTTGAATTTTTAAAACATTTTATAAGACTTTCTTGTCATTGAGATATTGGGGCTCTTCGTTTACTACAGCAAAACATAACCTGTACTAAGTGATACAGTCCAACTGGTCCCCATTTTAGTTATTCTGCAGTATAAGAGGTGGACAGTAATTAAAGAGCTGCAAAGTGTGAACTTTAATAAGTGATTCAATACATGTATATAATATATATTAAATTAGGATAATAAAATTAGGTTCATAATGTAGAAAGCTCTGGAAAGGAAGTCTGTACATGATTGATTCTGAGAACATTTTGTGAGTTTTGTTTTTTAAGGAACTGTAGATGTTCAATATCTGTCTTTTTGAAAGAAGCATAAATGTTAGGGTGAGATATAATTGAAATTATTGAGAAGTTATTTTGTTTTGTTTTTGTTTTTTGTCTTTTTCCTTTTTATTGGTACCAGGGATCGAACTCACGACTGCCTGCTTGCAAGGCAGGCGCTTATGCCGCTGAGCTAAATCCCCAGCCCCCGAGAAGTTATTTTATAATTAACTAATTTTTAAAGTAGAAAATGGAGATTTGCACTCTCATCAAGAAGCAAAATGTTTTTTTCCAGGCTTTACTACTTCGGTAATCCTTCATCTGATACTTAAAATGTATTTATGTTGAGTCATTTCTTTCTCTTTTGCTGGTGAACCAGAATCATGAAATGATTCTGCAGAGGCAGGAGCATTACGTTCAGTTTCTTTTTTTGTATGTATCTGATAAGAGGGCTGCAGATGGAAGTGACCCACCTCACATCCTTTGTACGGCGATGGCTGTGATACTTGCGTTTTTACCACAGGATTGGCATTTATTAATTCATAAGCCTGCTTCCAAAGAACCAAAGGTTCTTTGGTGAAAGGTGACTGTAGTAGAAACCATGTTAGGTTTTAACAGACTACTTTTATGTTTACAAATATTTCTTCTTTTTAATGTTTAGAAACTACTACCTTAAACGAGCTTTTTGGGGATAGGGGCCTGCAAGGACCAGGGGGAAGTTAGTGTTTATATGTAGAATCAGGATTTCTGAATCTTAAGTTAAGAGAGAAAAATAAAGTTTTGAAGGTTAGCTCATTTAAAGTCTCTGAATCATTCTGTCTGAATCAAATCTACTTTCTGGTTGGCAAAATATTTACAGATCTGAAAAATAAAAGTAGCATAACTTTAATAGCAGTGGAAGGTCCAAGTAGCCGATGCAGAGCTGGGCATCTCCCCAGGGGCAGAGGACCCCTGGCTAACTTTTCGCTCCTATAATTCACCAGTATGTGTGCAGCAGGGCTTCTGTGGCCAGTGGGCCTCGGTGGTGCTGGTGGTGGTGGCGGCCTCCCCGTCAGTCAGCATGGCCTGAGAAAGAAGCTTATTATACAGATAGGCTTTTGGTAGTTTTAATTTAAGTCTTTAAAGAGGTACAGTGTTTGTTATAAAAGTGAAAATAGAGAAGAGTAAGGGCTCTGGAACACTGGAAATATGCCTGTAATTTTCGTATTTTTTTTCTAGCTATTTCTGGATTCTGTTTTTTGAATTTTTTTTTTTTTTTTTGTCTTTTTCGTTTTTATCGGTACCAGGGATCGAACTCACGACTGCCTGCTTGCAAGGCAGGTACTTATGCCACTGAGCTAAATCCCCAGCCCCTGGATTCTGTTTTTTAATTAAGATTTTTTGACATAGTGTCTGTGTAGCCCAGGCTGGTCTCAAACTCAGCAATCCTCCTGCCTCTGCCTTCCAAGTCTGGGATTACAGGCATGCACTAACATGCCTGGCCTTTATAATGGAAATTATTGAGGAAGTTATTTTATAATATAGCTAATTATATGGCTGTAACATATTTTCACATAAACAGTTACATTTAATTATTAGCTATCATAGATAGATAGCAATAGCACATACTATTTTTCCACTAAAGTATCAATGGCTTTTTTTTCCAGAGCAATAATGAAATTTCACAGTATGAAAATGGAAGAAATCAATAAAATTATTCGTGATCTTTGGCGAAGTACCTATCGTGGTCAAGGTAATTAATATAGTGCATTATAAAAGCTCTTCCTGAAAAAAAAAATTAAAAAGCTCTCTTACTAAAGCTCTATCCACAGCTCTTCCACATATGATCTGTCTCCATGAAAACATTATGTGGACTCCTTCCTGAGCTTCTCTTTGAGATGCTCTAAGTTTATCTTAATGTCTTGTAGAGAAAGAAAACACAGAAGTTTCTATTCCCAAGCCTGACGGGACTTAGATGTTGGCCACTACAGAGGTCACATTTAGCTGATGACACAGTCATCTCTGTTGAAGGATTAGGCCAATGCGATAAAAAGGAAACCAGCAGAGGAAACTGCTGGAGAGCGGAGGCCAAGCTGGGGCATCCGGGTACCTGTGGACAGACTGCAGCCTCGCAGGCTGCTCCCAGGCTTGTTAGATGAGGTCTGTATGTGACAAAAGGCTACAGAGAGCAGGTTGCCTAAAATATTCTTCTTTCTGTATTAGATATTGAATACATAGAAATTCGCTCTGATGCCGACGAGAACGTATCAGCTTCTGATAAAAGACGGAATTATAATTACCGAGTAGTGATGCTAAAAGGAGATACGGCCTTGGACATGCGAGGACGATGCAGTGCTGGACAGAAGGCAGGTATCTCGAGAGCCTAAGGAGCCACTGAACACAAATGATTGAAGGTCACACAGTGCCACAGAAGCACCCAGGGCTGCCCTGCGTGTGATGGTCCTTTTAGCACTCCCAACAGCATAACAGCATGCCAGGTGAATCGGGTGCGGCGCCCTCCAATATGCTGTGCCTGCCTGATGCCAGCATTCCTACAGCTCTGCGCAGACGGCAGCTCTGTATAGGACAGGCTAGTGTGCAACAAGGAGCTCAAGACACTTTCCCACTTCACAGATACCCTTAGCAGAGCAAGGCCACTCCTGCATCAGTGATAAGGCTTGGCACCATTTTACATGCCACCACATAAGACAAAACATAGTGACAGCCAGGCATGGTGGCACAGGCTGACACAGTAGTATTGCCATGAGTTGAAACCAGCCTGAGCTACATAGTGAGATCCTGTCTCAGAAAACCAAAGGAAAAACCAACAACAACAAATTGTAAGAAATATAGTTACAACCTTATGGTGCATTGTGTTTTCTGAGAAGTCACAATGGAAGAGTACTTTTCAGGATTAATAACTGTGTTAGTCAGAATTCTGTTCATTATAATAGTATTAGCAAACTAGATCCCAGACTGAGCCGGACAAGGCATTTAGAATACCGGAATCCCACTGAGAAAGCAGTACCTGCGTAGGACTAAGTCCACCCTACCACTCTAGCTCAGCCTGCAGACATCTGAGATGGGGTCTGCCATCGTAGTCTCGGTTCTCATGCCAGCCTCTGCCTGCAGCACACTGTGCACAGGATGCAGCTGCTAGGTCGCACTGGCACCCTGGCTCCATGCAAGGCTCCAAGAGGACATCCTAGGTAGGCACGAGGCAGAGTCAGAAAGAGAACAAGGGTTTCAGAAGCAGGATCTGTATCCGGGGGATCCAGGTATAGTCTTCACTGTGCACAAGTGGATGCCAAACCAAATCTGAATAAAGATTTCCCAGGTTCGTGAGCTTTCTTCTTTCAGATTAGAAGCAGAAGATTACAGTACCTACAGACCCTAAAACGTGCCACATCTACTATGTATTGTCAGCCCAAACAACTGATGCGAATATGAGGCATCTGCAGATTACTAAGTCACAGAATGCAAAAGTGACAAATTTGTGATCTATAATCAGTATCTGTGTGCATTGGTGACTTTCAGTGTTAATTATAAAAGAGTTTGAAATATGACCTATAGATGGAGAAAAAAGATTTCCTGTAGCTACTCTAAATTACTAATGCTAATTAGTAGTAACGTCTTCTTTGGTGTTGGGAGAGAGGACAAAGACATGTTTTGATGGAGCCTGCCTAACTCTGGCTTTTGCTGAGGCCTACGGGCAGTGTGAGGTTCTGCATGTGGGTAGTGGTAGAGCTGGCTGCAGTGGGGCTCAAAGGCAGGAAGGAAGTGCCTTTCCCACAAAGGGTAGCAGCGGCCCCAGCTCCTGCACTCTCTTGGCCTGCCCTGGGCCTCAGAAAGAGGGTATGTACTGTACTTTTCTTAAAATCCCCAATTTGAGCAGGGGATTTAGCTCAGCGGCATAAGTGCCTGACTGGCAAGCACAAGGTCATGAGTTCGATCCTTGGTATTACAAAAAAAAAAAAAAAAATCGGCAATTCATAAAGTCCTTGGGAAAAGGAATTATTAATTCATGCCCAGTAGTTTATGGCTCCCAGCACAGTTTCACACTCTGAACCCTACATCGGTTGGACTCAGATGGTTTCAGTTAGGTGAGTCTGAGGCTTCTGGTATTAGGTTGCTGTGACCCATGACAGTGCCTGGTAGTTCAAATGCCTTGGATTTCCTGCATGTAAGTGTAATAAAATTGTACTTCTGTACTCATCCAGTGTTGTGAGCCATAATTATTTTTCCCCTCTCACTGTGAGAGTTTCACACATTTTAGGGTGGACTAGAACACAATACCTGGTACATTTTCTGGACCATAGAATATGGAGATTGAAAGAGACAACTCTCTGTGAGGCTTGCAGAAATGCAGTATGTCTAAATTTTCTAACGTATCTTATTAGTGAGCTGTAAGGCCCAGGTGAAGAGTTTTAAGGTGGTTAGTTTTACACCTTTATTAAATTTAATACTTAGAGCTAAGTGGTAATATGTCTTTGTTCCAAGCCTATGACTTCAAGTGTTGATGCATTTGATGAGTTTCTGTGTGTGTGCATGGCAGATGAGGCACAGGGAGAATGCAGCTGGGTTGCCTCCTGGAGGGGCACAAGAGCCCAGTCCCAGTGCTGGGCTCTGCCCTCAGTGACGCCGCTACAGGGTGATGCTGTGCAACTCACTCATGGCTCTCTGCAGGTGTTGGCCTCCCTCATCATCCGCTTGGCACTGGCCGAAACGTTCTGCCTGAACTGTGGCATCCTTGCCTTGGACGAGCCAACGACCAATCTCGACCGAGAAAACATTGAATCTCTTGCACATGCATTGGTTGAGTAAGTGTATTTGGGGCATTTGTGATCTTTGTTTAAGATGGATTGAGAGAGTTCTGGGGTCAGCCCTCCCTAGGTGTTCCTTGTTGGGGAAGCCAGGTTCTACACTTTACCTTTGGATAGTAATATTTCAAGTTTTCTTGAAAAGAAACTAGATAGCAAACAGTGGCCCCAGACACATCCTGCTTCTCCCTGACGTGCTCATAGGGAGAGTCGCAGTGAGGGTTCCGGGCTTTGTTTGGTTTTCCTGTGAACCCCCATGTCATGCACAGGCATCTGTGGGCCCTACCAAGACATCTGTAGGTGGTGGTGGGCCAGACCATTACAAGGAACGGCAGAACTCCTACTCAGAAAGGGATGAGTGTGAAGCAGGCTGCAGAGGGGGTGAGGTGCACGTACTTGTTACCACTCTCAGCTGTGTGGGGATGGGCTCCAGGATGGGGCAGCCTGCTGAGGCACTGCTGACGAGGAGAGGCACTCGCCCCACGGGAGGAGGCGGCGTTCCTGGCACTCTGGGTGCAGGCAGACTCTTGCCAGCAGAGGTGGTGCGTCCTGTCTGCCAGCTCGGGTCAGGACAGCAGAACTGAGCGGCATAGCCCACTCCCCGCAGCGACCTCTCGCAGCACCAGCGCTCTGAAACCTCAGGCGCATCCAGCCAGACTAAAGAAGTGGTTACTCAAGTGTTTCGGGTCTGACTCTCACAGCTGGTTGTCTCAGCATATAAATAATGAGCAAAAATGTTCCCAGTCCACCCACTCAGGTCCCCTGTATGTCACTGAAATGATACATCTAGTGACTAGTGGTGACAGAATTCAAAGTAGACCCAGCTCTCAGGAAGGCAGTGTTATTCCCCTACCTGTTGCCTGTCTTTATCATTTTTAAAATTTTCTTCCAAAGAAAATCTGGGCAAAGTAAACTCCAAAAGTCAAGCATTTGTGGTGTCTCTAAAACAGTTGCACCTTCTTTAGTAAGGACACTCTGATCTGGGGAAACCAGTCCAAATTCTTGACATGGTTCTTACCGTCCCTAGGCAAGAGGCAGCAGGCAGTGCATTCCCACTGCCCAGATGGGAGGCGAGAAGCCATGGCAGGGCTGGAGGCTCGGCCACCCCAACCCTCCCCGCTTCCCGCCGTGCAGCCGGAGGCCTGGCATGCACCGCACAGGAAAAGCTGGGTCGTCCCACACAGCAGCAGCTCATTTGCCTGACAGGGTTTGTGGTATCTTTTAAGACTTACACATGAAGTATTTTAAATATGTTGTTCCAGGATAATAAAGAGTCGCTCACAGCAGCGTAACTTTCAGCTCCTGATCATCACTCACGATGAAGATTTTGTGGAGCTCCTGGGACGTTCTGAGTATGTGGAGCAGTTCTACAGGATCAAGAAGAACATCGACCAGTGTTCGGAGATCGTGAGATGCAGTGTCACCTCCCTGGGATCTTACGTTCATTAGCTTCTTGATTTTGGTATCAGCTGACCCTACTGATGGTACCTTGTTGAAAAGGAACCTTCTAAGGTGTCTCAGAGGCACTAAGGTCACGAAAATGGTTTCACTGAAGGTAGAACTGCTCCACCGCATTTTGTTCTGCTAGCAGCAGCCTGGGCCCAGCCTACCGGACTCGGCCTCTCGGCCTCCCTGTCTCCCTGTCCTCCTCCTGCTGAGAGGCAGGGCTCGCTGCTGACTGCGTGCGCCTCTGGCATTGGACAGCTCCCCGCTAGTTATTATATCTGAGTGTATTTCCTTCCGTGTGTTTAAAGGAAACCTGAGTTCTCAGTGAGTGTAAATGTCTGAATATGGCTAGAAATGAGATTTGAATGTCCAGCCCTGCTTTAATCTTATAAATCTCTGCAAATGACCTCTCTGTCTTTTGACTTTGGCTTCATCGCCTAAAATCTGAAGTTACTGAGTGGGGTCCCAAGGTTTTATAGGAATCTTAAATAATCATCAAGTTGAATACATCGTTACCAGTCATCCATCTGGGCTCTAGAAAGAGAGGAAATTCCCCGCCTGAGTCCCATCAGCCTTGTGGGGCTCCTGTGAATCAGCTCAGCATCTGCCTCATCCTCGCTGCTCTGCAGGGCCAGTGGCTGGCGTGGGAGGTGAGCCAGACCCAGCTGCAGGCAGACCAGGGAGTGGCCTCTCCTCTCCATTCCAGCATCTGTTCACATGAAGCCCTGTCACGCTGTCCCCTGAAACTGTTGTCCAGCCTTTCGCAAGCATTCCACGCAGGATGCAACGGAGTTCCACTGTGTGGCATGCTGTCATTCAGCGAGTCACCCCCCGGCTCAGTCACGGTTTCGTGCCATCGGCAGATCTGATGAACAGTGCCTCAATAGCCTCTCCCAGGTGGCGCCTGGAAGAGGATCGAGCCCAGGATCCCACCGTATGCTTGCAGGACTGAGCAGTGGCCTGATGAAAGCCAAGGATCTTGGGATACAGAACACCTCAGAGGCCTATAGGTAGTGCTGAGCACCCCAGTAACAGTGGCAGCCTGAGGAGGGAAGGCTGCGTGTGGGCGGGTACAGGCCCAAGTGCTGCACATCAGTAAGAGGCAGGGTCTGCCCGCCAAGGGACAGAACACCTAGCAGCTGGAAAAGGTGACAGAACAGATTCACACACACACACACACACACACACACGCGCGCACGCACGCACGCACGCACGCACGCAGAGCCTGCAGGAGGGGCCAGCCCTGCTGACACCTCAGTTTGAGCTCAGTGATACTGATTTGAACTCTGGTCTCCAGCACAGTAAACTTGGGCTGGTTTACACTGCTGCCTTCATGGTATTTATCCCAGCAGCACTAAGAAAGAAACATGCAATTTCTCCACATCTAACAGGGCTAGGTACTCCCTGTCCTGAGAGAACCGAGATGGGGGTGCTTGCCTAAATCACACTGTGCCCCGAGGTTCACACCGCCATGCCAGCCACCTGGTCCGTCTGTGCCACGGCTTCTGTCATGATGAGGGCCAGTCATCCTACGTAAGTTACAACCTGAAGTTCCACTTTACCAGATTCGCATAATCCTGACTCCAGGGAGACCCCGGGGTGAAGGGAGCAGCCCGGGAGTTAACTGAGAGCCGACCTGTCACACAGTAAAGCCAACACAGCCCACAGCCAAGGCGTGTGTGTCCCAGGATGTTCCAGAAAATGATAAATCTGTGTAAGGCATCACTAATAATGAAGCCAGAGCGGGGGTGGGAGGGCACCTAACGTTATTTCCTGAGTTGTCATCAGGCAGCAGCAAATGCTTCCCTGTCAGCAGCTCCTGCAGAGAGTCCCCAGTGTCCTGCAGGTGTTACTGCACACAGTGGAAAGGAGCCAAAGACAGGGCAGTGGCAGGGACCCAGGGTGACCACAAAGAACCTGGACACAGATCCATCCGGGTCAAGGCCAGCGAGTGCTGATGGGGCAGTGATGACAACTCAGGTGGGCTCGGACAGAGAGCAGCGACAAGGGGCGAGGAGAGAGCTGCAGGCTCCTCGGGAGAGGTTTCGTTGTGGCTGCTGCCACATCACGTCCTCAGCAGGTCTTGTCTTGCCCTGGGAGTAACATGGTGTCACTGGCTGGGGGCCTCAGCTGTGCCCAGCAGAAAGCAGGGAGTTTCCATGTTCCGACCTGGCTCACAGGGCAGGACAAGGACAGCCTTGGAGGCGTTCCCTATATAATCTATGGTCCTCACCATGTTTCATCACATATTGAAACCTGGCACCTTCTATCAGTGTTTGAGAGCAGTGATCGTTGCAGTAGGATGACAAGCCATAGCAAATAAATACAGGTGAGAAGACTCGCCAAGGTCAGACTTCTGCCGCCCCTCACGCGCACACATACACACTCTTTCACTCAGGGCAGCTTTCACTTCACATTCTGCCCTCTGGGGCGGGGTAGAGCCTTCTTGTTTCCAGACCATTCTCTGAAATGAACAGTGCATCAGAGGGTGAAGTTAGGGCGCCTGAGAGACCGGGAGCAAATAAATGGCAGGCATTTGGCAAGATTTTGTTTTCCTCTGTAAACTGCATCGGTGACACACAGGACCATGATCATCTTTTTCCAAAGTCATAGAACAAATTTAATTTCGTGAACTGAGCTACCGATGGCCACAGTTCACCCACAGTAACTGGAGTAAAATGAACCTGTCTCGGAGTGTCCTACCAAAGCTGAAATAGCTTAATACGTACGAAATGCTCAGCACCGCCTGGCACGTGGAAAAGACCAGCTGTCTGAGAAAAGCCTCGCATCTTCAGTCCACTTTCCTGTTGCAGTAGTTTCGTCCCTGCCCTGGTCAGCTTGTGTGGTCTTGGAAGGTTTTAGCTGCCCACTCCCTGCCACTCCAGAGTAATTCCGTGCTCCCTGCTGACCTCAGTGTCCGAATGACGATCTCACATGACTCCCCTGGCTCCTCATTCTGTCCTGCAGTGAGAAGATGCTGCCAGCTGCGGTCCTGCTGGGGAGGCCTGTCCTTTAAAGAACAGGCACCACAGTAGGTAAGCTCGGTGCTGAGCGCTCACTTACCCAGTGACCCCTTCACCTCTACACCTCACACCCAGAACTTCTTGAACGCCCCCTAAGATGGTTCTCCCCTTCCCTGCCGCCCCTTGCTAACCAGCTTAAACTCCAGTAGGAGCAGGTGCCTGATGCCGCTCCCAGCCCTGCCAGGCCCCTCTTTGTACCACTTCCTCTGCCGCATCCTCTGGCTGCTGTCGGCACTCATGTTACTCTGCCTTTCATCTCGTGACCTCGTCGGGTCTTGCAGCTTCCTGAGACCCCCTTGGTCTGGGTCCTCCCAGAAGCAGTCTGGAGCTGTGCTCCAGGTGAAAGTAGCCAGTGGAGATGGGGGGCAGGAAGGAAAGGCGACCCGCTGGTCAGACAGCTACCGTGGTGGACCACTGCAGGCTCATCTAGAGAGGCTGGAAACTGGTGGAGTGCACGCTTCAGCATTACCCTGCCTGTGGGCCGACAGCCGGCTGTTCTACACCAAGCTGCAGTTAGGCGGGGATTCCGGCCTGGCTTCACAGCGTGCCAGCAGGCCTGCCGCTTCTGGACAGGCACTGGTTGGGCGGGAGCGCGGCAGTTCCCAGGACACGCGCAGGGCAGGCGCCAATGCCTACCTTCCGCCCAGGTCTCAGCCAGCGCCTGCCTCCCCCAATGGGGCGTCTTGAGGGACACCCACCTGAGACCGGCTGTCCCGCACCAAGCTCTTCCCTCGGGCTTTCTGGTAATGGCAACCCCAGCCTAATGACTGCTCAAGTGAAAACGGCAGCCTCCTGGATGGCCCTGTTTACCTCACATCCAGTCCACCAGCCTGGCGCTACCGGTTTGGCTTTCAAAATACATCCGGGATCTGCCCAAGCCCTGCAATCCAAGCTGCTGCCTTCCCCACCTACAGCACCCACGCTGTCCTCACGGCAGCCAGAGACCTTTTTAAACGGCACATCCAATAAACGTTTTTCTTGCGGGCACGGGACACAACTCTAATAAAGTATTTTAGGTGCTCTTTGATGCACACTGGAGTTACGAAGCTATAAAACCAGTGTTAGCCGAAAACCCAAGTCAAAAATCCTCCTTTAACACAACGAAGCCACGAAACCTCTAGCAACAGGTTCAGCAAGTACCAGCGGTTCCTTGGTCAGGTGACTGGGCCACTGCCCCTGCAGCATAGCGAATCCAGGAAAGGCTTGAAGTGCAGTTTCTACCAAATGCATGCTATTTTCACACCAGCGCAGAATCAGTTTGAAGTTAAGCCACCATCATAAACGGGTCTATAGGGCAGGGGATGTAGTTCAGCGGCACAAGCACCTGCCTGGCCAGTGCAAGGTCGTGAGTTTGATCCCTGGTACCAAAAAAGTAAAGAAGTATATTTGGGCTGGGGATGCAGCACAGTGCTCGGCACCTGTCTTGCAAACATGAGGTTGTGAATTTGATTCCCTGTTTTAAAAAGTGTTTTTAAAAATATTACAGTAAAAGAGACATTGCCATTAATTCCTTTCAGAACAGTCTCCCTCGCTTTGAACACTGATCCCACCACTCTGCTACTGTCTGAGGTGGTGCTGGAAATAGCCTTTCATGATCAGTGTCAGTTGCACTGCTGCAGCTACTTTGACCTCATACGTGGAGCTGGATGTTTGCCTTCCGAGGCCTTCTCACTTAGGGGCAGCCGGAGTGGGCCCGATGCTGGGTCAGTGAGCGAGGTGGCTGCTATCCTCCGAGCCCGCCTATATCATGGCTCATCACATGAAAGGGGACCTAACGAGACCACTTTATAAAGTGGCGGGAGTGATGGGATGAGCGTTTGAAGTGGGGGGAGATTTGGAGGGGGCTGATGGTAATGTGTCTCCTATTATGATACATGTTTTTAAAACGCAAAAGCTGGGGGCATAGTTCAGCAGCACAAGCACCTGCCTGGCAACTGCAAGGTTCAGAGTTCAACTCTCAGTACAAAAAAGAAAAGCTGGGCATGGTGGTGCATGCCTGTAATCTCAGCACTCCAAAGGCTGAGGCAGGAGGATCATTGTCAGTTCAAGACCAGCCTGGGCTACAAAGTGCACTCAAAAGACAATAAGTCTAAAAACTTGAACATTCGCTGTGTATTTTGATGGCCCTGTATGTACTGTTGTAGATAATGAAAACTTTTTTACTCAGTTTTCTGAGTAGACCTATTAAGTAGCCATTTAGAAACAAAACACAAAGTTTCTACAAAGCAAACCCCAGGCTCGGTAGATATCAAACACTTAAAGAATAATATCAACGCTTTGCTGACTCCTCCAAAGTTAGAAAAAGAGAACATTTCCCCGCTCACTCTGCAAGATCAACAGTACACTGTTAACAAGACCAGACGTGATATCACAAGGAAGCAAA